TTGTTTTTTATGTATATTACCATATCGTCCATATTTATTGCTTTTTTGCCGTCGCTGTTTAGGTTATACATCTGGAGTAGGTCGCTGATGTAGATAATGAACAGGATGGGGGAATTTACTGTACCCTGTTGGAGGCCGTTTTCTATTTTGTACGCTCTGGAAGTGCTTTCGTTTACGTGAAACTGTTTGTCATGTAGCATGTTCCAGAGTATTTTAAGTGCGGTGGAAAGTTTTTCTTTATTAATTTATAGAATAGACCATCTAGCCAAACTAAAGGTGTGCGGGTACCCGACTGTTCAGGTCGGGCTTACACGAAGTCGGGCGGGCTCGGGCGGGTAGCCCGAAGATTTCGGGTAACTCGATGATTTCGGGTAGCCCGACTATTTCGGATCGAATTAGAAAAAGTTCAAATGGACATGATAGGCATTATATTGCGTTATCGGAATCAATTATTCGTAATATTTAATATACATATATTTTTTTTCTTCAAATGTAATAATATTTACTCTAAATGATAATATAAAAAAGATAATTGCTCAACATTTTGTGATATTAATTTCGCTCGAGCTGGTATTATTATATTTTCCGGATAAGGAAAATAGTCTTTCACTCGTAGTTTGAGTGGCAAGTAGAGCAAGAAATTTTTTTTGCAGCTAAAGACAATAGTGGGAATCTGGCTGTATTTCATTTCCACCAACTAATGTCTATGTTTCTAGCACTAAAACCATCGGCGAAATACGTATGTATTTCTCGATGTAGCTGCGACTCAAATGTCTCCGGTTCCTCGACGTTTGTATATCCTAGTGCATAGTCAATAAATCGAAAGACGAGTTAAAACAACAATTGATCGAAGAACGGAAGAATATTCCGCTCAATTACTTAAAGAAAATTACTGGAAATATGCCTAGAAGTCTGCGATATGTAATTGAAGTTAAGGGCTACCCAACAAAATATTAATTATTGTTTATGTTAACAATTTTCAGGTTTAAATATAATTATAGTTGTTTAAATGTCCGAATATTTATGCCACACTATATTTCAACATAATTCAGTTTATTGTTTGATATTAAGAAAAGTATGTGCAATAAATAAATAAAATGTATGTTACTATAAACTATAATAAATGTTCTAATATATTATTAAAAAATTAATCCAAACTTACTATTATAAACAATCGAAGTCCACAACAATATCTTGAATAGCATAATGTCCAAATATTAATAAGAGTCACTGTATGTATTTCGCCGATGATTTTAGTGCTAGAAATATAGACATTAGTTGGTGGAAATGCAATACAGCCAGATTCCCACTATTGTCTTTAGCTGCAAAAAAAATTTCTTGCTCTACTTGCCACTCAAACTACGAGTGAAAGACTATTTTCCGGAAATATAATAACACCAACTCGAGCGAAATTAATATCACAAAATGTTGAGCAATTATCTTTTTTACATTATCATTTAGAGTAAATATTATTACATTTGAAGAAAAAAATATATGTATATTAAATATTATGAATAATTGATTTCGATAACGCAATATAATGCATATCATATCCCATTTGAACTTTTTCCAACTCGATCCGAAATAGACGGACTACCCGAAATCATCGGGCTACCCGAAATCTTTGGGCTACCCACCCGAACCCGACCCGAATCCGAAATTTCGGGTACCCGCACACCCCTAATTGTAGCCCGTTTTTTGTTTAAATTCGTTTGATAATACTTGTCTCATATACAATTTCCTATAACGCAAAACATACCTCTCGTTTTACGGAAACCATATTATTCGGAACTTCGTTCATTGTGCGAATGAATATTAATTGTTGGAACGTTAATGTTAATGCATTAAAAAAATATTTTAAGTCAAACATCTTGTTCAAAAAAATCTTTCATGAAATTATTTGCACTGTAGATTTCTTTACTGCATAATCTAAAACGCTTCTAAAGTTTTCATTTTTTCTTTTTTTTTTTTGCAATTACCAATTGTCACTTCATCGTCATCAATAAATTTTGTCATACTGACGAGATAGAAGTACATTGCGACTCTAATAAAATAGAAACTTAGCACAAGTATTGGCAGACCCGATCGAGTAAATTGTTCTAATTAATGCCGATTGGCAATTGAGGGTCAGTTTTAGAATTGAACTGCAAGCATTGAATAGGATACGCGCATATTTAAGGGGGTGTTCTAGTGTGAACTTTTGAAAAAGTCGATTTTTTTTTACACAATCTTAAAGGACATAGTTTCAAAAATACATCTTTGTAACCTTACATGTGAACTCTTAAAATTAACGAAGTTATGGTTGTTTGAAGGACGCGACGACCAGCGTCATTGTTACTGCAATACTACTAACTTTAAAGGCATTTTCCTGGAAACTATGTTTTTCAGAACGGTGTTCATGATATCTCAAAATCTACTTAGCCAGTTGACTCAAAATTTTAAGTACGCATTTAGTACATGTGTGACTATAGCCCCTACCAGAATCAACCAAAAAATTTTATTTCTTATATTTTTTTTGGCCTCCGAAGTAACAAAAACATACAAAAATCGATAATCGAATTTCGAAGTATCGGCACTTTTTTAATTACCGACTTTTTTCTTTTATTTTGGTACCTGCTATAGCCAAATTCATACTAATTAAGGAACATTCACGTTTTTTTTATTTCCGACAAGCAGAATGGCCGGAATCATGGACACCGTGAGACGACCTTTTTTAAAAGCGACTATGTTTGAGAGTATGCAGTGCCACTAACGTTAATCTTTTTTATTCCAAAAAATTTTAAAACGTCGTTGAAATACGTACAAATAAATCTTGTCAATTTGACTGTGTGAAGCAGACTCCTTAACGCTCCAGCTGCTGATTCAAACCCAAACAAATGAATCACCTGCCCCACCTTTATGCGAATTCGTCACGTACATCATACCCGAACAATCTGTATAAATAACCGGCAGACACTCAATAAGGCAGTTTTTTGAAAGATTTTCCCCCTGCAAAAATTTACAATCTTCTTACTCACACAAATCAACGAGAAAACATTCATTAATCAACACCAAATGTATTTATGTTAAATGCAGGTTATAGAGAACCACAAATCCCAAGGAACTGCAACAGCACATAAGGAAAAAGAAAAAAAAAAATAAAGCAGTCTAACTTGTACCAGCACATAATTCAGATCTCATTATTCTCCTAGTCACGAATCGACGTCTACTACGGTAGAATTCTCTTATATAGATTCAGTCGTTTTTATTGGGAATATTTCAATTAGTAACTTGTTCTCTTTATTCGGTGTGAATTAGAGAAGCTCGTTATTAGTTATCGTGAAGTGGATAGATCGATCTCTTCACATATTTTACTAGATTTGTCCCGTCACAATTGCAAGGTATAATAGTTTCTTTGCAAAAAATTCCCTAACAAAGTTAAAAAACACGCACTTCACACTAGAATACCCCCTTAAACAGGTTGAAGAACTTATCCTTTTTGATATTGTTACATATCCTTTTTGATATTGCTTAGAATTATCAAATTTATTTACGAGTATAATCATGTCATGTTAGTGATGCGATGAGTTTAATTTTTAAATACAGGAAAACAGGGAATGTTTGATAAAAGATAAAATTTTGCAGATAATATTAACGGCGCGGTAATCGGATTGAAAATACTAAAATACTACTTAAACCCTATACAAGTCATCAAATCGTGTAACAATTAAATAAATTAGAGTTGGTATAATAATTTTAATTTTGCCATCACAAATATCATAAGGTATTAAAGTTGAGTTTAAGTTTATTTGTAAATTTAATTTAAACCCAAGCTAATGATAACATTCTTCTGAACGACGCGATGAACACTTTCAAGCGACGCGGTTGATAAAATTTGTTATTTAGTAAGGAATAAGTTTTATGGCTTTTACTAAAATAATATGAGTATATCTTTTCGCAGTGTAAATATCGATACATTTCTATACAAATGAAAGTCTACTCCACTTGGCTTTAGTTTATAAAATATTTAAGAAAATCTTTTGTATTTTTTACTTTGACATGGCTTACCACTTAGATTTGGATTAAATTTACAAGTGAATTTAAACTCAAGTTCAACGCTGGTCGATCACCGATACAGTACCTAAATTAAAATAATATCCGATATAATATCTCAATTAAAATTATTATCTAACGTATTTAGTCAACTTGATGATCTGTACATTCTCTGTCTCCTTGTATTTAACCCTTTAACTACAAATATATTTTGAGATATCGTGTCTGCGGAATACTAAGAAAATAATAGAACTGAAATATGTCGATAAATTAATTTAATCTTAAATATACGCTTCTACATACTTTCAAATATAAATATTATCTATTGAAGTCACCTGTAACTAAAGGATTAAAAATCGAAACGCGTCATGAGCTTTTAATGTTATCGTTATTCGGTTGGGAACTTTTGCAGAAGGTTTGCATTGTTAAGTGAATTGTGTGAAATTTGATGAATTTAGCTTGATATTGGATATAAACATTTATATCTTTTTTTATATCTTATATACGAATTTAATTAGCGAAAGATGATTAATCATTTTCAAAGTCAAACAATGTAATCGGTCGCTTACTGTCTCTAAAACTATCAGAAACGTTGATTTGAAGATCGTTGGCTTAAATAGTCAATAGTCGACAGAGTCAGATTAACAACCGAGAGCCAAAACATCTCGAGAACGATAGATTGAAGGTTCCTTTTTTTATTATAAAATAATATTCGAGACGAAATAATTACATTCATAGATAAATTTAACGCAAATTTAAAGGGAATGAAGCTCGAAGTGAAAGTAAAAAATGTCAAATGTTTTTTTCATAAATACCTTCACAAATTAAGCTAACAATAAGTTGAAATTATATGTATAGGAAAAAGTTATTCAAAATGTTACAGTTTCTACAACGTATTCAAAAATCGGCGAGATGGACCGTCATCTGTATAATTATTGAGAAAAGATACGATTGTAACATGTGTATCTTTTTTTTTTTTTTTTTTTTTCAATTTCTAGATTGCTGGTTTCAATGGTTTAAGCGATGCATTGAAAAGGCTGGACTTTTTGTCAGCGGTACATGACCGTCGACGTTTCAATTATATTGTTCGACTCTTAGATCTTCTAGTCAGTCACAGAATGGGCGGACTCAGTGGATGCGCTCAACGAGTTCTCTTCAATATGTTAGAAGAAGTTGCATTGGAAGGTAAAGATTTAAACTAAATTGATCGCGATTATATTAGTCTTTGATACGTGTTCTTACATGTTCGGCAGTATCATTGTCGCAGCAACAAACTGGAAAACTTCGTCGATTGATCGAGAGAGTACGGGCTTTTAGCGCGGGTTGTTGTTGGGGTGGTAGACCTTTGGGATCTGTAATATTATGGGAGAAGCATAAAGCCGCTTTAGAAAGAATATTACAAATTGCCTCTTCTATTACTATAACTCAGGTAAGAAAATGTATAGCTAATTGCAAGACAATAAGAGAGAAGGTGGTGCCCGCTTAGTCTTTATTCTTATTGTGTCGATTCTAGCCGGACGAGGAACAGCAACCGCAGTGGTCAGATTTGCCCACGGAATGCCGCCGAGAGGTCCTCCTTCGACTTAGTGATCCACGAGATATCGAAGCATCTTCTGAGGCTTGTGAACATTTAGCTATTCTTGCGCAAGAACAAAGAATCTGGCGGGAACTTGCTCAATATCATTTCACACCTCAACAAATAACCACTACGAGACAACACAATCCTGGAAAAGACTGGAAAACTATTTTCACTATCGCTCGAAGGTGTGTCTTGCATATATATATATATGTGTAGATAATGTAAACATTTATTTACTATTCTCACGTCTCTTGGTTATCTGCCTCTGGTTGTTTACAAAGTAAATCAAAGTATGTGTTTTATAGGTCGTTTGGCCTGCGAGAAGAGTATGCAGAGATAATTCAATTATGCCGCAATTGTCGCTGCCTGTTCTGGCGATCGCTCGGACATCCCTGTATTGTCGATCAAGATCCGGCCTTTCAAAAGAAATTAGCAGACGTCGATCGAGCGTCTCTTCATGTTCCAATTCCTCCGCAAACTTTCCTCAAATTCTTTTCCCTATGAAACAAACGGACAAATACGAAAAGAAAAACAAGGAATCTACGCATTTACTTTTCTAGCCTTTTTTTGGTAAAGGAATATATGATTAGAAAGATATACGTGCGAATCATAATCTTTAATGTTCTTTTGATGTTTTTCGCCTTGTCTCGTGTCCGAATGCGTTCCTTAAAACCCTTTCGTCCGATTTCGATCCCGAAATCTTCGACGCTTTTTAATCTTAATAGCGATTTATTTCAATCGGTGCTTTCAAAAATATCGATATAATAATAACAGTAATAATAATAATAATAATAATAATAATAATGATAACAATAATAATAATAATAATAATAGTAATAATAATAACAGTAACAACAACAATAATAATAAAAAGAAGAAGAAAAAGGAAAAGATGAAGAAAATATCGTTATCGTTTCGTTCTTTCTTTGATATTTGAGATCGTTACTTAACGAATGTTATCACGTGCTTTTTTCCAATACTAAACAAAATGAACGAATTGTAATAATGTAGCGTAAATTCGTGTGTATCGTAAATCATATAGTTAGTTATTCGTTCTTTATCTATTTGTAATTGTGCAATAATGTTGACACTCATTACTCTTCTCAAAATGGAAAGAATTTTTTCATTTGATTTTTCTTCAAAATAGAGAGAAAATACTTTTGGTATTTGTGCAAATATCAAATTGAAACATCTTTACATATATTACAGAGATTAATCGTAACGAATATTATTTCATTGCAAAGTTTCTGCGGAAAATACATGATTTTCAACTATTTAATTACTAAAATATTATACTTATTAAAAATGCATTTGTCGTACATACATGTGTAGAATTTACATTGGAACGATATTATTTATTGTAGCAAAATTACATTATTGTTCTAGTTTTATCAATATTTTTCTTATTCCTCTCGATATTTATTTTTTACTTTTATAATTACCAATTTTTTTGTCCATTCTGTGCGCTTATATCTGTTATGTGTCTTTTTGTTTTGTATATCATCATTATCATCGTCATAACCATCATAATCATTGTACAATCAAGAATTGTCAGATCATCCTATAAATAATGTCATCTATTCACTAGTTTTTGGTACAAATACTTAATATAAAAGATCTTATTTTTAATTTGTAGTAGAGCTGCAAGTTTATCTTGAATTGATATTAAATAAATTTTTCCTTCTTTGAGAAGGGAAAGACGTCCTGTATACTCGTTGTAATGAGTGACAAACATTTTCATTTTTTGGTATACATTTATTTATACATATTCGTTTGATTATAATATATGTACATGGCACGAGTTAATACAAATTTTTGATGATACATTGTATTCAAAAAAGACGAATTCAGTAATCTGTACAAATTTGAATAGAATTTGAAACAAAATCAACAAAACCTAACTTTTGGAGTTACATTTTTAAAATTTTCGTTCAGAATATATAACTTTTCATCATTTACTTCTTTACATTTTTTCAGAACAAACATTTTTGCAAACATATGTACAGTTTAAATATATTATATACTATGTATATACGGAGTTCTTGAATACGCTGTCTAATAAAAACTACGAAAACATTTAAAAAAAGAATTATTTGTCCGTACGTATGTCATACGGACTAAACAATGAAAAGGTTAATATACCTTATAAAAAGGAATTTCGATCCGGCGAATGTAGGCGAATCACCAAGTGATTGGTCCATTTTGATTAATTTATCAGTTTAGAAATAGTTGTTAAAGAATATTTCTAAAATTATGTAAAACGAGTACTAACATTATTGATATATTTTACAACGTATAACATTTTTGCAGTAACTAACATGTCCTTCATGATTTATAAAAATCATCACTAAATAATTTTGTTCTTAATATATATAAGTGTTTACAGTTTGGCCAATATTTGTTATTCATGAAATTTATCAAGAAACTGCAGTCTCTGTATTTTATTTTTTATGAGTTTTTACTTTTTATATATACATAATTAACTGAAAATATAGCTGTAAAGATCTCATACGTACGTGGAATTTTTGAGAAATTCATTACGTTACCATTATGTTAATTTATTTTTTGCCGTACATAAACTATTAATATAAATACTGAAATGATGTTACTGCAATTTTAAATAAACTTAGCATTTCATAAACATGAATATTTATAAATATTAGCTTGTTGCATATGAGATGTCCAATTTTACAAACATAAAATTAACCTTAAAATTTAATCACTAAAAGCACTATTCATTAATATTTATAGTTACTATTATTATAATATATTATAATAGTAAGTGTTGTTAATTAGTTATGTTATTTTAACTCAGCTAAGCTGATCAAACATAAAATAATTGGTGTTTTATTAATTTTTTTATTAAAAACGTAGATTGTACGTCAAAATAATCTATGAACTATAACATTGAATTCAAATAACATTTTTTAAAAGGTTCATTTTGTTAAATTTCATTGTAATTCAGTAAAAGCTAATCTAGTAACATTAATACTAGTTTCAAGAAGTTCGATTTATCAACAATTATCAACTGAATTTTAATTGTAATAATTATCAGTAATAATTGTATATTTTATACTCAATATTCATTGTAAAGAAAAGTTAGAATTTTACGTATGATATACATATAATTATTATACATATATATATTATTATATAACAATGGTTAAAATATATTAAATATGATATATTATAATTTGGTATATGGTATATTATAATTTGATTCTTTAAGAAATATGCAAATTTCCAATATCGAACATCGATTAATACAATCGAGGAAAGAATGATTTGAAAATGTGGAACAAAAATTTTTCCTTTAAAGTTTTATTTTTAAAAAAATAGACTTTCTTTCGTTAAAAATTGCCTTGACACATATGTACTTGATAAATTTTTCAAACTTGATTTTTTCGAAACTAAAACCACAAATAAAAAAATTCTTCATTTCTTCACTTTGAATTTATTTTTTATATGGAATTATCTCCTCCTCGGTTGTATATCCGATACTGGTGCACTATCTGTAAACTGATCAAAAATTAGTTTTGTACTTTGTAGAATTCGACCATCTCATTTGCAATAACTTAATACTACGCATTTATTTTTGGAAAAACTTTTCAACAAGTAAATCATACATTTACATTCTGATTTTGAGATTCGTGCTTATTATACAGATCATTGAATTCGCTTTATTATAAAAATCCATCAAGGAAAAAAAGAAATTCATATTTTCTAATATGTCAGAAGATGTAGAATATAAGTTAAATAATATTCATATAATGAGTTTTTTTAAATGCAACATAATTTATTTAAACCTTTTTCGACATAATTAACACGTAACAAATTATTCTAAATAATAATTCTTATTGACTTGTCCTGTATAATTCATTGTATTAAATATTATAATTAGTTAAGCGATTAATTTGGAACACGTGATAACATTGTAATTTTTTTATGATTATAGATCAGCGTTTATTAATGTTAGAATTGATTTGATTTTATTAATATTAGAATTTGGAATGCTGAAATTTATACTGCCAAAATCGATACTATTTTATTCAGCCAAATAGATGCCTTTTGTGGTATATTTTTCTTAAATAATAAATTTCTTTTGATGTTATTTTTTGTTGTTTTTCTTTATCAAATATTATAATAATCGTATTGAAATACGAGTCCGTATATTTTTCTGAGGTAATTACATTGCAAAATATACATCTTCGACAAATAAAAATAGTACAAAAATTGCGCTTTTCCGTCTAATATAATTTTTAAAATTTTCTTTACTGATTTAGTAAACTTTTATCTATTTAGTAAAGCATCTAAAATTCTGTATCAAATACTTTAAAATAAAAAATTTATTTCTATACATGTATGTCTTAAATTTGTTTTATATATGAGTATGTATACTCATGTGTATCTATATAGGGATATGTATATATATGTACTATATATATATAATGTGAGTGTATATGTATATAAATCAATAGTTTGATATTTCATTTCGTTATAAATTTATTTTATTAATAATATACACAAGTAAACTGTACAAAAAATATCTTTACATGTAATATTCTTAATATTTCTGTTCTCTTCTAACATAAAATGAAGGATTCTTGATTTACTACTCGCATATGCTTCATAGCTACTATAATTAAATATATATAAATTGAAGAAGACTATAAGACAAACCAATGTCAGTCATTAGTTTTTTGCAAAGATCAAGAATATCTTGGAATGCATTATTCGTGTGGATACTGCTGCAGCAACAGTAACACTATAGATGCCTAGCTTGCTTGTTTCGCGTATTCTATTAAAAGCTATGTACAGACAATGCAAGGATGTCTTAAGCTTTGAGTGCAGACGAGGTATATGGATAGATCTAACATGCACAAATATATCTATCTTGCATTCAGAGGTCGTAGGATCCCGTTACCATTTTCGTGTCACACCTTGTCATACCGATTTAAGTAAATTTTACATCACAACCCTACTAGTGATGGAATTAAAATAAAAAATATGTTTATATCTGCTATGAGAATCATTTATTGAATTGAACGTGGTGGTACTTCAATAAAAGAATATAATGATTTAGAATAATGATTAATGGAAATTAGAACAAAAAATTCATTATATATTTGATTATTTAAAAGTATTAGAAAAAATTTATAAAATATGATATTTTCTATATTTTAGTGTGTAATCTCAACGAATCACTTTTCTTCCGCAAACTCGATTTTGTGAAAAATTAGATTTATTCAAATTTATTGTTTGGCATAAAGGAGCATATCATGTAGTATAAATTATTTTTTTGCAGATCGTTGAAGAAAATTTCGAAGTCAAATTCATTCTTTTAAATAATACCATATATATATATATATATATATATATATATATATATATATATATATATATATATATATATATATATATATTTTTTTTTTT